TTCGGCACGACGCTACATATTAGTGGGTGTCTTATCATTGGTTTTGTCACTAGCAGGTTTACGTACTCTCCACCTCAGAACCCCACTTATTCACACAACAAGCCACGTCTCGTTCAGCAGTCATCGTTCACAAGACCTCATGCTGAACGCTCGATGAGATAACCCGCTCACGTCATGAAGAACAGCAGGGGATATATATTCTAGGTTACTAAGTACGGTCGAGCTCAACCAAGCCCGCCTCGACGTCTCACCAACCGATGCCTCCTCAATCTCTTCTCCTCTTCGGCGGAGCCTTTGCCTTCCTCCTCATAGTTCTTCGGCTTTCCCGTCGCAAGAACCTTTCTAACCTCCGCGGCCCACCCTCTCCTTCTATGCTATTCGGTATGTTCTATGCGTTCTTGACTCTTTCCATATCCTCGTACCTGACCGTCACTGCGTGCCAACATAGGCAACGAGTTCCAGCTCTTCCATTCGCCTGAGACCGGAGAACTAGACTTCCAGTGGATGCGCGAGTACGGAGCTACCTGGCGTACCCGCAGTTACTTCAGTGTACGTGACTACATGACCATCCGTTTCTCATGCCCCTGAGCATCCTCCGCTATTGAAGGTTGACCAAATCATGACCGTCGATCCGAAGGTATCTCCAAGTCCCACATGTCAATTTTGCGCTCGGTGCTGACACGAGTTTCGGCGACAGGCATTGCAACATATCCTTCACAAGTCCGGTTACAGCTACCCCAAGCGGCTGGATATGATCCACATGTCCTGGCTCTCGTTCGGACCAGGGATCATCTGGAGTGAAGGTCAGTGTAGCCTCGCTATCCTGTAACGGAGACCCGATCACATATAACTGTTTCATTCCCTATGAAGGAGCCATGCATCGACGCCATCGCAAAGTCATGACACCAGCGTTCAGTACCCCACAGCTGCGTGCCTTTGTCCCACTGTTCCAACGGTCATCGAGAAAGGTGTCGTCCGCTCTCCCTCCTCGCCTTGGTTTGTGTCTCTTTGGCAGTGTTACTCACTAAAACGATGCAGGTGATTGACCATTGGCGGAACATGGTCGCCGATAAGCCCGGTGGCATCATTCTGGTGAATGATTGGCTCGCTCGGTCCGCCCTGGACACTATTGGTGAGGGTAGGTCGACAACTCCCTCGTCTCGCATCCTTGCGTCGCGGTACTCATCTCCTATCAGCTGCATTCGATTACAACTTTGGGGCTATAGACGACGCCAAGAACATATTGGCTGAGGAGTACAAAACGCTCAAGTGAGTCGGCGGATCCATCTAAGTCTTCTCACCATGATATCGACGACTCGTCGTTTTAGTGTCGACGCGCGGCTGTTCCCCGATGCTACAAATGTATTCTACCGCGCGACGTGGCAGTTCTTCCCTCAATGGCTTCTTAAACTCACCAAATACACCCCTGGACGTGTCTACGCCCGCTTCCGCCATATGAAAGAAGAGTTCGCAAAGATTGGGAAGCCACTCTACAACTCCAGCGCAAAAGAGGGGCTCGCTGCACGGGAGAAGACAGACGTTATGAGCGTATTGAGTGCGTCACCTCTTCTGTACTCCGAACTCCTGTTAACGACTGCTCTTTTCACAGTCAAGGCAAACGCGTCGGAGAACGAGCAAACGCGCCTCGGTGAAGACGAAGTCATCGCGCAGATGGCCAATTTAACGGTTGCGGGACAAGAGACAACGTCCGGCGCCATAAGCTGGCTGTTATGGGAACTCGCTCAGCGCCCGGAGTACCAGGCACGCGTACGCGCAGAGATTCGTGCGGCGCGAGCTCAGACTGTCGCACGCGGGGACGTGGACTTCACTCTCGAAGATTTGGATGGGATGAAAGTCATGTTAGCGGCTATCAAGGTGCGCCAATCGCTTACCCGATGGGGATCCACAAAGAAGAAGCACTGAGCGTGGACATACAGGAGACGCTTCGGTTCCATCCGATCGCGTACCACCTCTGGCGCATCGCTGCAAAGGACGATATCATCCCGCTCTCCGAGCCCGTTATTGGCAAGGACGGTAACGTGCTGAACGAGATCCCAATAGCCGCGGGCCAAGCGGTCACGATCTCTATAGCAGGTTACAATCGGTGAGATAATGTTGGGCTTCACACCTTGAGAACTGACCGCCATGATACTCTCTGCTTGTCCTTGCGGTGATGCTAGTCTGCAGAGTGTTTGGGGCGAAGACGCGGACAAATGGGACCCTGAGCGATTTTTCCGGCTCGATGCGGACAAACAGGTGAAGGTTGGAGTGTACGCCAACTTGTAAGCTTGCGTTTATCTCAATAATATGCTGAGTACTGAATGTCACCTGCAGAATGTCTTTTTGTGAGTTCCATGTATAGCTATTGTCAGCGATCGAGCGTCAGGTACTGAGAAACACTTCACTAAGCTGCCGGAGTGCGTGCCTGCATTGGGTATGTCATTATTGTCATTCTCATTACATGTGTGATCACTAACGCGGCTTTTCAGATGGCGGTTTGCGTGAGTGAATGTTCTGGCCCTGAGTCTGTAATGAATGGTTTACCTTTACTTCTAGGATGTACCAGATGCAAGCCGTCGCCGCAGAACTGCTGGGGAACTTCGAATTCGCAATGCCAGAGGATAACCCGCACATCATACGGACCCCCGGAGGAGGGGTGATGATACCGTTCATCAAAGGGCAGGAGGAGCAGGGTCCCGCCATTCCCCTCCGTGTGTGGTTGTCCACTTAAGTCGTCAGGTATCGATTGTACGCGGTTGGTACTCCTGAAGAAGATGGATGAAATAGAAAGTATGCGTGCGCACGGGGCGCCTATTGCTCGCACTGGAACGATATACTTATCGTCTCAAGCATCTTCGCCCCGGCAGTAGATTACTGAAAACTGAAGGTGACTCGTCAATTGGAGGAATCAAGCATTCCAAAACTGAGAACATCGGTCAGCTGGCCAGTTGTCCCCCTCGCAGCGTTCGCGATGGCAGGATTTCTAAGCACCACATAATATTCGTTGTCCGGCGAAAAGACCACATTGAGCAGCATGCCGGTGTCTTTACGTTGCACTTTCTTTAGGGGGAACCAAGCCGCCGCTTCACATGACGCTCATCTCACGAATATGCTTCTCGCCGTCATCCAAGCCACTGTTGACCCCGAGGTCTACGGATGGATTGGATCAGCTTGTTGTGTCTCTGTGAATTTGTTTATAAAGCTGCAACATACTGTATTCTCAGATTGTGAAATCCGATTACGCATGGCTATTGGTGAACTGACGACTCTGCTGACAGGCAAGCGTCGGCGGAATGCCTAGCTGAGGACGTCTGATGCGCTATAAGAATGGGGAACGCATGCCTCACATCCGCCAGCTCATTTCACCTACCGGAAACCGAGGTGCGTCCGCCCAAACCTGCAGACATCATATGCCCTACTTACTATGATAAATTCAGATGACATCCCCTTGCACGAACGAACCAGGCATTACCATCGTGGGTGGAGGGCCGGCTGGCCTCGTCCTCCACCTCACTCTCCACCGCCACGGCATCCCTTCCACGCTGTACGAGCGCGAGTCTTCTCCTGACTCACACGGTCATCTCGGTGGAATGCTGGACCTTGGATGGTTCAGCGGCCAGCGCGCACTCCGCGAGAACGGTATCAACGACGCGTTCATGAAGTACGCTCGTCCCGAAGGCGAAGAGCTCAGGATGTGCGACAAGGCCGGGAACCTCCTGCTACGCTCGAAGCCGGAGAAGGACCAAAACCCTCTCGACAGCCGCCCCGAGATCGACCGTACTATGCTACGGAAGATACTTCTCGACGCCGTCCCTGCAGATTCTGTCAAGTGGGGTTACGCTCTCTCCTCCGTTCGCCCGCTCGGTGGCGGGGGTTACGAGCTGACCTTCACCAACGGTTCCGTGGTCGTCAGCGACATCCTCGTGGGCGCTGATGGCGCATTCTCGCGTATTCGCCCCCTCGTGTCTTCTGCTACACCTCTCTACACCGGCTTCACAGGCACGGAGATCTCGATCTCCCCAGAGGTTGCCGCTCGATCCGACATGAAGGACGTCGTGAGCAACGTCGGTCAAGGGAGCGCATACACTCAGCAGGACAGCAAGTTCTTCGGGACGCAGCTCAACGGGGACGGGCGTATCCGTGCGTATGTCTTCCACGCTAGTTCCTCCGAGTGGAAGACGCCGAGCGATCCGGCGGAGGTCCGGAAGGTGTTGCTCGGGATGTTCGAGGACTGGGCGCCGTGGATCCGCAAGTTCATTGAGAACATCGACGACGGGATGATCTATCACCGCGCCCTGTACTACCTCCCCATCGGGCAGCAGTGGGACCATGTCCCTGGTGTCACGATTATCGGAGACGCTGCTCACTTCATGGCCCCGTTCGCCGGCGCGGGCGCGAACCTCGCCATGCTCGATGCTTTCGAACTTGGCCACACGCTTTCTGAGGCCATTATCGAGGGGAAAACAGTCGAGGAGAGGGAGGCCGCCGTTGCTGCATGGGAGATGAAAATGTTGAAGAGGGCAGAGAGGATGGCTACAATCAGCAAGTCCAACTTGGAAGCGTTCATTGGTCCTAATGCGCCTGAGAGTGCAGTGGAGGCCATGAGGTCGCTCCCGATGAAGCCAAGTATGAGACGTTACGCTTGAATAGCATTAGTCGACACGCATACCCGCTTGCTGTACTAGTACTCACGTTCTTGCACATGATTCAACCAAGGCATTTCACGTAGTTCAAAAGCATACGAAACTCGAGTCCGAGCAACTTTCGGCCAACCAACTAGTAGGAAGGTCGAGCCGTGCCAGAGAACCAACAAATGCGACTGATGTGTTGTTGGCAACGTGTGAGTATTGAAGTCGAAACTTCAATCTCAATATAACACAGTAGAGCACTGCTTCAGAGTCTGTTATGGATGTTGCCGCAAAGCAGCGTCGGTGTGCATCAGGTTGTGGACTCGGATCACTTAAAAAGTTGATATAGCCTAACACTGCATCGTTACCACATCCCGCTTAGCTCAGTGGTAGAGCGCATCACTAGTATGATCCTTTCGGGTGTGCGAAATGATGAGGTCAGTCGTTCAAGTCGGCTAGTGGGAAATATTTTGCACCGTCGCAGCTCCCTGCCTCCCCTGCCACCAAGCGTTGCTGGGATTCATTTGCTCTCCTCTGCTGTTCGTGCGGTGAGATATTGTGCTACCAGTAGGGGCATGCCATAAACATGGGTTCCGCACTAATCCGTTCGGACATTCTTTACTAATATGCGCTCGCTGCGTATTGTAAACGTATACTATACATGTGCTTGCTCAAGCGTTGCGCCTGACGACAGGCTGCAATATGAAAGACTTAATGGTCTCAACGGCCGATGCAGGCGCGTCCGGATTCACGAACGCCTCGTAGTTCTTATAAGTGATAGCAGCCATCTTCTCAGCATCAACAAACATCTTCTCCTCCCATGCCGCCACTGCCGCCTCCCTCTCTATAATGGTCTTCCCCTCGGTGATCGCTTCAGCGATCACAATACCGAGCTCCAATCCATCAACCATCGCGAGGTTTGCACCAGCCCCCGCGAAGGGGCCCATGAGATGAGCAGCGTCGCCGAGAACGGTCACCCCGGGAACATGGTCCCACCGATGTCCGACGGGGAGGTAGAACAACGGACGATGGTAGATCGCCTCGTCATCGCAGTGCTCGATGAACCTGCGCATCCACGGCGCCCAGTCCTTGTAGATCTCGAGCAGCACCCTGCGCGCCTCGCTTGGATCTCGCGGCGGCGTCCACTCGACGGGGCCGCTGTGCCACGCGTACGCACGGATGCGCCCGTCGCCGTTGCGCTGGAGCGCGAGGACCTTGTTGTTCGCCAAGACGAACACGCTGCCCTGCCCGACGGCGTCGGAGACGTCTTTCATGTCGGGGCGAGCGGCGACCTCGGGCGCAAGTGAGATCTCTGCGCCGTTGACGTTGTAGTACAGGAGCGGGGCGGATGAGACCAGAGGCCGGACGCGCGAGTTCGCGCCGTCCGCCCCGACGAGGATATCGCTGATAACGGAGGTGCCGTTGGTGAATGTCAGTTCGTGCTGCCCATTTGCCGCGAGGGGGCGGACGGAGGCGAGCGTATGACCCCACTTGATGGAGTCCGACGGGACGGCGTCGAGGAGGATATTGCGCAGCGTGCTACGGTCGATTTCGGGGCGGGTGTCGACGGGGTCCAGGTTTTCGTTTGCGGGCTGGTAGATGAGGACGTTTCCGGCGGCGTCGCATAGCCTGAACTCTTCGCCCTCTGGACGAGAGTACTGCTTGAAAAGGTCCTCGAGACCGTTTTCGCGCAAGGCACGCTGCCCGCTCTGGTATCCGAGATCGAAGGTCCCGCCAAGGTGAGCCCGTGCGTTGAACCCGACGTCGCGTTCGTAGAGGGTGGCGTTGATCCCGCGACTGAAGAGGGTGAGTAGCAGGACAAGGCCAGACGGCCCACCACCGATGATAACGATGCGGGGTTGAGCTGTAGAGGTAGAGGTCATGTTTTGGAGTAAAGCGGGGGTGAGTACTCACTTGTGAGTCTTGTCCTTTCGATACAGTGCGCCAATGCAAGATGCCGAGGGGTGGACGTCAGTTATCGGCTTCCCTCGATTTACGGAAGGGAGCTTGTATGCTCCACCGCTCAAACTACGCAGTAAACCTTCTCGGGCGTCCCGACTGCGGCATGTAAGTATGAGGGATCCTCGCATGATGGAAGCTGTGTGGGTATGCGTACTTGCCAAGTCAGGATCATCCTCAGGTTGCTCGGGCTTTATACTCTCTTGAGTGATATGTTGAGTATATCCACCACTCAAGCCCTTGAGCCACCTGCAGTCATCTTTCACTGTACCTCATGAGGCCATGGCGCGACGCACTCGGAGCGCTCACCACCGCGGGCGATGCATCTCAAGCTAGAAGCAAACGACTCGTATAACGTCAAAGCACAAAATGCCCGACTGTCCAACACCTCCAAAGCGCTAAGAAGAGACAACTTTATCCGTATAGAGCAACGGTTGCGCCCGAAAGAGTCGACGTTATACGTGTCCACTCGATGAGCTAACCGGTGTACATCCCCGGCTGATCCTCAGAGCTGAGGATCAAAGCTTGACCGGGACGCAGCCGATGGAGACCAGGCCGCCCTGAAGGATACCGATGAGATACGACAAGAGGTGAGAGCAAATAATGGGAGAGACGACGCACATAGCTGTTGTCCTGACAGCAAACTACGTTGGACGAGCACGACTCGCCCGAGGCGACGCCGATGGCGGTGATGGGGGAGCATGCGATCCCGACGATGACGTCTGCCCCCTTAACGGCGATGCCGAGCAGCCCGAGAAGGGAAGAGGCACTCGGTTTGTCGGCCTGTGGACAGCGGCACGGTGAAATTGGAGAGTGTGATTAGTCGGTTGGTGTGCATGGAAAGAAGGTAACACTGACGCTCTCGACCGAGTTGCAGCACTGGACGGGGCCAGTGCTGCAGCTGCTGGCAGACGTGGGCGTGGTAGCGGGCGCGGTAACGGTGACCGTTTTCGTTGGGTGGCCGTTCGCGCTGGGCATGGCGGTCGCAAGGATGCTCAGGGAGAGTGCGCAGCAGACGGAGGTGATGGTATGGCTGAACATGGTTGGATGTTGGCTGGTAAAGAGAGGAAGGTTGCTTGGAGCGAGTGAGCGGATGAGATTAGGAGAGTGAAGTAGCTGCAAACTGCGGAAGGGCTCGTTAATGCTCAAGGATGTTGTCCAGGCGGGGGTCGCTTTTATACATCTCGCGGAGGGGGAGAGTTGGTATCGCGTCCAACGGGGTGTGCGGTCAGAAGGGAGTGCATGTTCGGGTTTCAGCATGACATCGTGCACCTGCGATGCGCGAAGACCCAGAGCAAGGCTTCCCAGGGCGGATGCACGAGGAGAGCGGTATAGCAAGAAGCGACAGACCTCGGCAGATCTCGACGGGGCGCACGCATGTGCATAAAATAGTGGTTCGACACCCCGCGATGAATGAAACGGATGTGTTTATGCAGACAGCAGGCTGGGGGAAGGAAGATATGATGGTGCCTTCACGCGGCAAAGACTGGAAGGAGGAGAGTGCTTACCGCGAGTAGTGGTGTCTATGCCATAGTAGGTGGTGTGCATATTCCATATTCACGAAAAAACATCGGCATCGCGGACCCACAACAGTCACCGTGCGAAGCATGCTAGTGACGGAGGAGGGAACATCGGCACCATCTAGAGGTTGCGAAGCACCGTGTACCGGTGCAGAAGCATTCCAGGACCGAGCAAAGGCGAGATGTTGCCACCGGGAGTGCATGCATCAGGCCGGGATGCATACGATGGCAACAGGGTGCACAGTTCTGCGTCTGAGTCCCGATTGCGTCGTCAGCCGAAAGACAATAGCTCCGAAGTTCACAGTCTGACGGTAAAGAATCATTGCCAGAGGTGACGCAGGATGTTGGGAGCTCGCTTGTGTTCTTACCGATGCGCATGTGCACCGTGAGCTATGTGTAAGAATTGGTGGAAGACTTGCAGGGCCGTGTAACTGCACGAGTGAACATTGTCATTGAAAGTGTTCAGCTCAGATGTGACTCACCGCAGTGGGATGATCGCACAAGGCGGCGTGAGAAAATTCTGATCTAACCGCCAACACATGGGCGCCAAATCATGTAACTTGAACGCTACCGACCCACTCTTCTTTTAGGTGACTTGGTATATCTAAAAATCGCAATGAGATCGACATGTTGCTCTATCATGACACAGCCTCCAGTACAAGACAACATGAATCCGGGAGTATGAACAGAGGTCCGTAGTGCACGCCGAGTCATTTTTGGATGTGTGGATAGCCCGCTCCTTTTTCTCAAGAAGTTGGTATTGCTATTGTTTCTACAAGTGGATGCGGGAGTACGGCTCGACCTGGTGCACCCGCAGCTACTTCGGAGTACGTGCCACTGTATAGTCTCGTAGTTCTCGAGTTGACACTCGCACTATATCACAGGTCATGACCGCAGATCCCACAGTGGTGTTGCGAAAAGGTGTCATTCCCCCGTAAATTCCCCTCACCATCGATGGCCGGCATGCACTGCAGCACATCCTGCACAAATTGGGGTACAACTATGCCAAGCGGGTCTCGGACATGAAATTCATGAATCATGCGATCCTGCTCGCATCCGGGCCTGGTATCCTGTGGAGCGAGTTCTCACATAGGCAATCTAACCAGAGTCCCGATACTGACAGGGAGGGCCCTTGCTGCTTGAAGGAGCGATTCACCGTAAAGTTATGAACCCCGCCTTCAGTGCTCAGCAGCTTCGAGGCTTCATTCCTCTGTTCCAGCGGACAGCACACATGGTAAGATCGATCGATTACTCTTGCGATATGTCTGGTCTTATCTCACGATGTACCGAAAATGTCTCCCCTCTTCCGACATAGGTCCGATTTGAAAAGTCGATCTTTCTAAGAGAATTCACTGATCTTCGGCCCCATGTTTCTCCCACAACGCCCATCTATTACCGGCCTCTGTGGAACCCGAAGTAGCTGCGCGTCCCGAGATGCAAGACATGCGAGAACGAGGCGAGGGCTCAAGACATGCTCTTCACACACTACTTATCGTATCTGTGAAGGGGATACCCCGGATGCATCTCACTCATACTACAATCCGACATCGACTCATGTAATGCATGAGTGATAGATGATACTTCTAATAGAATTCTCCAACTTGAAGTTGTATGTAAGGTAGTAAGTAGTTCAGGGCGATCCAAGCAAGTATCGTGATGTAGGGGGGTCGTGATGCATGCACATCACTCCACCTAGCCAGATATGAATCGATTGTTCTCTCCTTATGAATGACATCCAGGCTTGTCACGTCGGGTGAGATGTCTTTTGGACAATTAGTATTTGGTGGTGGGGACGGTGAAAGCGGTGCAGGCGCTCTCGGCTACCCGATTGGGATCGTGAGCTCCACGTTGCAACTTGCAAGTTGAAGTTCGACAAGCCCCACCCACCACCTTCCAAGCCTCAGACACAATCGTCTGTTCCCTTATTCAGGTAACTATCGGATCGATGAAACATGTGTGGTTCGCTGACTCGGCCCGGTCTCAGCT